TGCAGCTGGGCGCGCGCCATCCGCTCGCAGAGGTCGTCGGACTTGCTGCCAGAGGCCAGCATGCTCAGAGTGATCGCCTTGCGCGCCTGCCCCTGCAGCTTCCACCTGAGCGACTCCAGCTCCCGCTCCTGCAGCGCCTGCGCCTGTGCCAGGTTCGCGACGCTCGCCCTCAGCTGGTCGCGTACCTCCGCACACGGGTCGCCGAGCGCGCCTCGGCGCTCTGCCCACGCGCGCCAGAGCCCCCACGGCGCGCCCTCTTCAGCACCAGCCGCCCGGTCGTGGCCAGGAGCGGCGCACGCCACCGCCTGGGCCCCAGCGGCGTGCTGCGCGCAGTTTCTGCGCTCTGGCGGTGCCTCCACGCCAGCCTCGCGCGCAATGCCCCCGACCACCGCGCGCAGCCTCTCGCACTCCCCAGAGATCCTGCGGCCCAGCTCCGCCGCTGAACCCACGGGCGCCGCGCCGCCGCAACGATCCCACTCGCTCGGTTCCGCGAGGCTGTCGACGCACTGCTGCGGGCACAGCTGAGGCGGCCGCGCTCCGCGCCGCCGAGCTGCCTGCGAAGGCGATGGGTCGGCCCCCGCCCCTGGCGACGTTGGCGAATCCGGCGAAGTCGGCCCTGGCGCCCAACGCCGGAAAGCGTGCGGGGACTCAGGCGCCTCAGATGGCGGGCCAGTCTCGGGCGGCTGCTGCGGCGCTGGCGGTTCGCATGGCGAGGGCGGCTCGAGTTCCCAGCCGCAGCGCCGACCTGTGAGCGGGTCCCACAGCGGCCGCGGTCGAGGTGGCAGCGGCGCCTCACCTGCAGAGGGGCGGGGTTCCCTTCGGAAGAAGCAGAAGAGTGAAGAGGGGAGGGGAGGGCACGAAGCCATGGTCGCCGGGTTGCCAGGGTAGGCGAGGGCACAGAAGCCGAGCAAGAACCCGAAATAACTGACAACAGACGCGATGCGAACACAATGACGTCATACCAGCTGGTTCTCATGAGATTGAGCCCCTGAGGTGGCGTCGGGCCGCGGGACCTGCACAAGAGGAGGAGGAGGAGGAGGAGGAGAAATAGGAGGAGAAGGAGGAGGAGGAGATGGAGAAAGAGGGGGAGCAGGAAGAACGCCTCAATCGAAGGATTCGGCTTGGTCAACGCCGAAAAGGAGGAGCAGGAGGAGGAGGAGGAGGAGGAGATGACCCCTTGCCTGACTGCGGGGCGTCGAACTCGCCCCGCAGCAGCGCCTCGAAGCTCGCGTAGCCGCGCCCGTCGGCGGCGCCGAGCGCCATCGGGCGAAGCTGGCGGCCCCCCACCGGGCGTCCCGCATGGCTGTCGGGCATCAGTTTTTGGGCCGACGGCCTGACGTAGGGGTGCACCATGGTGCCTCGTGCACAGTACGCACTAGGAGCAGGAGCAGGAGGAATATAGTATCAAATCGGATCGGCGGTCCGCGACATGCCGCGACAAGGAACCCACTGCTGGGGGCGTGCCGCCGACCTCAAAAAGGGCTGCAGGCCAAGGAGGATGAGGAGGATGAGGAGGAGGACTGGACTGGACTGGACTGGACTGGAACTCTGGGAAGCCAGCTAATCTCTCAACCAACCGAGCCTGACTTCGCAAGCAACGCTGCCAAGAACTCGCAAGGATTCTGAAACGCACTGTATGCCACCTACCTGGCACTCTGCAAAGCGCCGCCATCTGCAAACCAGCACCAGCCCTGAATACACACAGGCACTCCCACACGAAGCCCACTCAGGCACGGGACGGGCCTTCCCCCTTCCCCGACCCCCCGATGCCCAACCACGGCCACTGGACGACGCCCGCCCTCTCACCTGACCAAGGCCTCCCAAATCAGGCGGAAGAACTATGAATGGCACTGTAGGCAGCTCAGTCTGTGGATAGGTAGGCACAGCGCGCGCCCTCCCAGAGCGAACTCTCAAAGCTTCCCAAGGTGCACTCTGATCGACAGTCCTCTTTTCACGAGCTGTTGAAATCTCAATATGGATTGCTTTCTGCCCATTCGCGATCGCTCCCGATCAGAGAAATACGTCGCGATCGACCGATCCCCGCGGAGCCGGCCCTGGAAGGAAGAGACCGCCCTCCAGGACCCCGAGCTCCTCGATCAACTCCGCCATCCCCTACCCCAGCCGCGCGCCCTGGTGGAACGTCACGAGGATCACGCCCATCTGCATGGTTTTCTCCTCCCCGCGGGTGTGCTTCACCCGAAAATACGGGCACGCCGTCGCCAACTGCATCATCTCGCCCCTCGCCATGACCCCCGCCAGCTCGATCATTTTCTTCTCGAGCGCCTCCTCGCCCGCCTGCTCATCGCCCACCGACGGCTTGAACGCCACGCCGCAGCACGCTGCCGCCACGGCGATGGACGAGCCCCTGGCGCGGAAGTCCACCTCTTCGCCGCCCTGGCCGCGCCCCATCAAGCTCTTCGACTCCGCGTCGCCCCCCCGCCCCGCCCGCCGACGCGCCGCCGCCCCGCCCGACGCGAGAACCTCGTACTTCAGAAGGAACACGGCCGACGAGACGTCGCCGAGCTCTCGAGAGATTACCTAGACGAGTTTGCTGGTCGCCGTCAACCGCCGCTCCTGCCCGCCGTCGCCGTCTGGGGCGCGATCTCCCCGCCGCCCTTCTTCGCCACGAGCTTGGACTCGCCATCCGCCTCGCGCGCGCCCGGCCCCTTGAACCAGGGGGGCATCTCCATCAACGCGTCGGCGCTGGCCGCGCGGGCGGCGCCCGCAGCCTCGGGCACCCGCGCGAGGCGCAGGTAGCTGGATCGGACGATGACCACGCTAGTGGTCGCTCAATACCGAAATGTTCAAGCCTTCATACGGACATAAGGGACACGCCAAGGAAGCAGGGGTCGACGCAAACTTCAATATTGAAGGCCCCCTAGTCTCGCAGCCCCCCCCGGCCGATGAACCCCGTGGGCGTCGGGCCACGTTCGATCAGCTGCCAAACGCTCGCATGCAGTTGATGAGTATGCAACAGGGGATTATCTGGTAGAAGAGGTCACAAGCGAAGCCGATCGGGCGGCCTTCGAACAACTGCGGTCGGCCAAAGCCCATGGGAGTGGAGCCGAACCGACAGCACAAGACCTGCGAGTTATGGACAGGATCATTCGTCCACGACTGATAGATCGCAAGACGCCTCGCACGAAGGCAAGTCAGTAGCACTAGGAGCGGGACGCCAGTGCGCCATCGCCTGCCCCGCTGTCAAACTCCGATCATGGCCTGATGGCTCCCCCTCCCCGACACTTTCCGACACTGTAGACGTCTCGCCCACAAGAGCAATGAGATCGAGAGCGGCGAGCCCACCATCGTGGCGAGCGCAATCGATTCCATAGCGGCCACTGGGCAAGGCAAGCTGGCCAAACACCATGAGAAGCAATCGTGTCCAACGATAGGGAAACCGAAGTGACCCAGTACCGCCGAGGCGGTGGGACGATACGCGCGAGGCCTGAAGACGACAAGTGTCTCTCCCATGAGCGGCCGAATCTCGCAACGCCATAACCCGCACCCAGTACCTTGCCTCAACCTTTCACGGGCCCTGAAGAGGTCAAGACGAGCAAAGGAGGCAACGACAGGTGTGCGCGTTCTGGCTGAAGTATAAGAGGAACTCCTGCCTGCTTGCATTATGGCCGTACCCGAACGGGGCGGAGCGATCATTAAGGAAATCGCCCACCGACTGTACATTGGTCGGCTAACGTCGGCAAGGACGATGTTGTCAAGGTCACCCGCGCATGTGATCAAAGATAGATCAGCTTGCAGTGGGTGGACCCCATGAGGCCACCACGTCTTTAGCGGAATGGTCCCCTCTCCTGAGGCTGTAGCTCCACCCCCACAACAGGACGTTCAAAAGTAGCGAGGCAGGTCCCCACTATGAACCGACCACCTATCAACACCCCCTGGCGCGGCCGAGCAACCACACCTCCTCTGCCAAGGGCAAGACGACGCGTGCATTCTCGAAGCGCTGGGAGCACAAAGGGGCAGCCTGGTCCGAGGCATGTAATTTGACTGAGACTGTCAGGGAATCATACGAACCGCTGCCGAAAGCATTACTGAGGCCCCTGGGGCAAAGACGGTGAAAGCGAAGTCGCCAAGACGTATTGAGCACGATCAAAACTGCTGCCCCCCTGCGACGACAAGCGACGGATCCGTGATCAGCAGGGGTTGGAAAAGCCTAAAGGTCGTGAGAATATAATCCGTTTCCAATCGCGGGAAATACGCGCACGACACACCGCCCCAGTGGACCCGCACACTCTTTTTGTTGCAAGAGCTGCCAACATTATTATACCAGTACGGTGGCGCCACTGCATGGCGCCGAACTTTCAGAAACCCGACGTATTGTAGAAACCAGAAGGGCTTCACATGAGGGGGATCGTCAGCATATCCAACGCCACGAGGAGCCCGAACACCAAGGGCCTCGTTGTACAAGTCGGTTGCACGAGGACATGCTGGGTACTACGTAAGGCTCGGGAGCAAGGTCAAAGATACGCGTAAGCAACCCCAGTAGCTCGATGTCGAATGCCTCCCGACCGTGTTCGACAGATTGTGGTGCCGTCTTAGCAACAAGCACTATCCCCAGCACTGGCTTGGTCGGACCACCAGTCGCCAGAGAGCTCGAAATTGACCAACGAAGCGCTCGACCCGATCGATCCCAGGAAACCCTGGTCATAGCGAACGGCCAGCAGCTAAGGACTTCCAGGCGCTCTGCGGCGGAGAAGGTGGACGTCGCCCCAGAGCTCTCGATCCCAACTGGGTCTGCGGGGAAGGGGCCCCCAGTGGCTTGGCCGACCGGGAACTCCATTAGACCACATCGGCTCAAGAGCTACAGCGATGCCGATGCCAAAATCACCTTTCCACTGAAGGGGCCTTGGTACACCCAAATAAATAAACACAAATAATAGGATTCCCCATACTTTCCTATATGTTCTGGGTTATTGTCTTCCCCTCCACTTCCCATGTTTTCCAATATTCCTGGGGGTCGACGATTAATTGTGTCTGTGTGCTTTTCTCCTTCCTGATCCACACTCACCCGACTTCGGCTGAAAAAGTTGGCTTTCCACGCGCCCGGCGGCCGTGGCCGCCGTGGCGAGTGCCACCGTCGAGGGAGAGCTCGCAGCACGTCGCGCGGACGCTCGGCAGCAGGCCGAGGCCGCTCAGCAGACCGAGGTAGCCGCGGCCCTGGGCGGCGCGTGCTCCGCCAGGCTCAGGCAGTCCCCGCCTCCGATGACGCCAGTGGACCATAACGACGATCACCGAGAACTACGACGAAACCAAGACGAGGATAAATTCGGATGAGGATAAATCAGCCAACCCCTTGGGGTCACGGCGTGTGAGATGCTTCCCCCTCCCTAAACCCCTCCCCCGGGAGCCCGGTCCGGCCGGTTTGGATGGAGGGGGGGGGGAGCAAAGGTGTCGGCCGCACCCTTGGAGCCTCAGGGGGCCCCAAAGTGGGGCAAGAGGGCCCCAGAAGGCCCCCCCGGATGGTCCAAGAGGGCTAAGAGTCGCCGAGTGATCGCTATAAGACGCCCAAGATCGCCTCCAGACGGTCCCAGAGGCCCCCAAGACGCCCCAAGAAGCCACCAAGAGGCGTCCCAAGAGGCACTCCAGAGGTAAAAATCGTCTCATTCTGTAAGAAAACGCATATTTTTAGCACAGTCGCCTCTTGGGTATTCATTAGGCCCACAACGGCCCAAGAAGCCTTTAAGATCGACCCAAGATAGCCGAAGAGGCCCCCAAGAGGGCTCCAAGACGGCCCAAGAAAGCCCCAAGACGGCCCCAGAAGCTCCCAAAACGACCCAGGAGGGCCCCATGACGGCCCCAAGAGGAGGCCCAGAGGGGGAACCCGAATGAACATTTCGAGCGCTCGGCCCCGAAAAAACCTGAGGAGGCGCCAATAGGCCCCCAAGAGGCTCCCACGAGGCCCCCGAGAGGCCCAAAAGAGGCTCCTAGAGGCCTCAAACGGCTCCCAAGAGGCCTCAAAAGTGCTGCCAGGAGAGCCCAGAGAAGCCCAAGAGCAGAGCGGCGATCCGCCAACCGCCCCCGACGAAATCCCAAGAAGCTGAAACCCCAAGACTCCCCAGAAATCGTTTCGCAAACTCAGCTTTTCACTCTTACTGCCGCCCCAAGGGATCGGCGGTGCGGCGTCAACCCATGAATCGAGAATCTCTGAGATCTGGTGGTTCTGGAGGATGTCCGGGGCGCCGCGGCCTTCTCAAAGCGTCCCAGAAGGCTCTGAGAGCGTTCGGGAACGCTCTGGAATGGATTTATCCTCGTTCCAGCCCCGTCGGAACGATCCCCAAGAACGTCCAGTTGAAGCCGGCAACCGTGCGGATCATTCCATAGGTCACGATGCAGCCGACGACGGCCGCGGGCCGGCAGACACCTCCGCCCGAGCCACCGCCCATGGCTGCGAGGTGCCCCTCAGCGTTGCGCCCCTCGACGCCAGGCTCGTCTCGGCATCCAGCGGTCCGTCCAGGTGCGGAGGAGCCCCTCCGAAGCCCAGGGCACCGAGAGATCCCGACTGCCAGCACCTACCGACTCGCAGGAACGGCAACCGGTACAGCTCCGGGATCTCGTCTACCAATCCGACATGCTGTCGTCGTCGTCGTCATCGTGCCCCTCCTCCTCCTCCTCCTCCTCCTCCTCCTCCTCCTCCTCCTCCTCCTCCTGCTCCTCGCCGCATCGTCGTCGTCGTCATCGCCGCCACCGCCGTCGTCGTCGTCGTCGCTATCGTCGTCATCGTCCTCCTCTTCCTCGCGGTCGTCGTCGTCGTCGTCGTCGTCGTCGTCGTCGTCGTCGTCGTCGTCGTCGTCGTCGTCGTCGTCGTCGTCGTCGTCGTCGTCTATGTCGTCATCGCCGTCCTCGTCTTCGTCGTCGTCATCGTCGTCGTCCTCCTCCTCCTAATTGTCGTCGTCTACGTCGTCGTCGTCGTCATAGTCGTCGTCATCGTCCTCCTCCTCCTACTCCTCGCCGTCACCGTCGTTGATGCCGTCATCGTAATCGTGCTCCTCCACCTCCTCCTCGCGGTAGTCGTCGTCGTCGCCGCCGCCGACGCCGCCGTCGTCATCGTTGTCTACGTCGTCGTCGTCATCGTCATCGTGCTCCTCCTCATCACCGTCGCCGTCTTTGCTGCCTTCGCCGTCGTCATCGTCGTCATCGTCCTTATCCTCCTCCTCTCCGTCGCCGTCGTCGTCTTCGTCGTTGTCGTCATCGTCGTCTACGTCGTCTTCGTCATCATCGTCATCGTCGTCATCGTCGTCGTCCTCCTCGTCGTGGTCGACGTCAACGTCTACGTCGTCGTCATCATTGTCGTCATCGTTCTCCTCATCCTCGCCGTCGCCGTCGTTGTTGTCGTCGTCGTCGTCGTCATCGTCGTTCTCGTCCTCCTTCTCCTCGCCGTCGTCATCGTCGTCATCGTCGTCTGCGTCGTCGTGGTCGTCAGCATCGTGACCGTCCTCCTCGCCGCAGTCGTTGTCGTCATCGACGGGGTCGTCGCCGCCGCCGCCGCAGCCGTTGGTCGTCATCGTCGTCATCGTCGTCGCCGTCGTCGTCGTCGTTGGTCGTCGTCGTTGTCATCGTCGTCATGGTCCTCCTCCCGTTCCTCGCCGTCGCCGTCGCTGTTGTCGTCGTCGTCATCGTCGTCATCGTCCTCCTGCTCCGCGCCGTCGTCGTCGTCGTTGTCGTCGTCATCGTCGTCGTCTCCGTCGTCGTCATCGTCGTCATCGTCGCCTAAGTCATCGTCGTCGTCGTCATCGTCGTCATCGTGATCCTCCTCCTCGCCATCGCCGTCGTTGTTTTCGTCGTCGTCGTCGTCGCCATCGTCCTCCTCCTCGCCGTCGTCGTCTATGCCGTCATCGTTGTCTACGTCGTCGTCGTCATCGTCGTCGTCTTCATCGTCGTCGTGCTCCTTCTCCTCCTCCTCCTCCTCCTGCTCATCATCCACCTCTTCCTCCTCCTCGCCGCAGTCGTCGTCGTCGTCGTCGCCGCTAACGCCGCGGTTGTCGTCGTCGTCATCATCGTCACCGTCCTCCTCCTCCTCGTCGTCACCGTCGTTGCTGTCGTCATCGACGACATCGTCGTCTTCATCGTCGTCTATTCCTTCTCCTTAACTCCTCCCTGGCGCACCCCGAGGCCAGTTGCCCGCGGGCGAGCCGGGAGTTTCGCCCGAGACTTCCCCACAACTCATGACTCTGAAGCTTAAAGAGTGACAACAGTTTCACAGATGGAGGGAGGCTGGATTTCAAAATGTGGCTCTCGCCTTAGCGCCGCACACATTCGTGTTGAAAATTTGCCAGAGCTTCACGGATTGAGGGCGGGTCGTTTTCGAAATGTGGCTCTCGCCTCAGCGCCGCGCACATTCGTTTTCAGAATGTTCAAAAGCTTCACGGATTGAGTGCGGGTCGTTTTCAAAATGTGGCTCTCGCCTTAGCGCCGCGCAAATTCATGTTAAACATTCACAAGAGTGTCACGGATTGAAGGGGCTCATTTTCAAAATGTGGCTCTCGCCTTAGCGTCGCGCAAAATCGTGTTAACAGTTTACAAGAGTTTCACGGATTGAAGGCGGTTCCTTTTCAAAATGTGGCTCTCGCCTTAGCGCCGCGCACATTCGTTTTTAAACTTTGCAAGAGCTTCACGTATTGAGGGCGGTTCCTTTTCAAATGTGGCGCTCGCCTTAGCACAGCGTGCGTTCTTCTTTTGAATTTGCCAGAGTTTCACGTACTCCCCTGGTAAGCGTACCAGAAATATGTTTTTTGAAGGATTCAGGATTATGAGGGCGCAACAAGTATGTTGTTTCGCTGTGTTGAAGTCCCACAAATGGCGTTCTGGCACGATTCTGGATCGTCAAGATGCAGCAGTCAGGCTGATACGTCGCGTTGAAATCCCGGGAACAATGTTTTGGCGCCTTAGGACCTTCAATATGTTGTCTTCCAACGAGGCACTTCCTTCAATGGAAATGGACCGCTGTAGGGGCCTAGGAAGAGCGAGTTTGGAGGGAGGGATAATTCCAACACCATTGATGACTCTTGGGTTTCCACTGGTCGTCATCCTCCTCGTCGTCGTTTGAGTCGTCATCGTCGTCGTCATCGCCTCCTCCTCCTCCTCCTCCTCCTCGCCGTCGCCGTCTTTGTTGTCGTCGTCATCGTCGTCATCGTCCTCCTCCTTGTCGCCATCGTCGTCGACGTCATCGTCGCGTACGTCTACGTCGTCATCGTCGTCGTCATCTTGCTCCTGCTCCTCCTCCTCCTCGCCGCAGTCGTCGTCATCGCCGCCGCCGCCGCCACCGCCGTCGTCGTCGTCGTCCTCCTCCTCCTCCTCCTCCTCGTCCTCCTCGTCCTCCCCTTCCTCACCGTCGCCGTCGTTGCTATCGTCGTCAACATCGTCCTCCTCCTCGCCGTCGTCGTCGTCGTCTAAGTCATCGTCGTCGTCGTCATCGTCATCGTCCTCCTTCTCGTCGTCGTCTACGTCGTCGTCATCGTCATCGTCCTCCTCCTCCTCGCCGATTTCGTCGCCATCGTCGTCGTCGCCGCCGCCGTCGTCGTCGTCGTCGTCATCGTCGTCATCGTCCGCCTCCTCCTCCTCGCCGTCTACGTCATCGTCGTTGTCGCCGTCGAAGTCGTCGTCGTCGTCGTCGACTTCGTCTACGTCGCTGTCGTCGTCATCGTCCTCGAGAGGCGCCAGACGAGGTGCGGGCCAACGGCAGCCAGGGCCATTGAGAAGGAGGAGAGGCGCGGTTTCCTCGGACGTCGGCCGCGCGCGAGGCGGCTCGGCAGGCGGAAGAGGCGGCGCAGCAGTCGCAGCAGGTCCTCGAGAGCATCGGTGGGAACGGTTCGAGCTCACTGCTAGAGCAGATTCGACTCATCCAGGAGGCTCTTCAGGGAGTGCTGGGACGTGAAGCTTCACGAGTGACCGACCTGGACGACCAGCTCCGGGCACTGCGCGACAGCATCGGGCAGGCACTGGGGATCCACGCGAATGCCCCGAACCACCTGAGCGGGATGATGAACCATCAGATGCAGCACCTGGTCGTCGTCATGCAGCAGCACCAGTTGATGCACGCGACCTCTCACGGCGAAACTCCAGTCCAGGTTCAAGCGTTCCACGTGGCGGCGGGCGACCCATGGACGCCGGGTCCGCATGCCGCCCCCGAGCCAGCGGCACCTCCGAATCCGGCGACGACGATGGACCCAGCAGTGGCGCTCCCGAACCACAGTGGCCAGCTAGCTCCCGTGCCAGACGGATACCACTGGAAGGAGCTCACCGAGGAGCCCGACGAGGCGGCAAGTGTCCGAGCCCCGACGCCTGCCAGTGCAAGGGCGCCCGCTCGAGAGAGCAAGCGCCCACTCTATGCTGCTCGGATCCCGGGCTTTCTCAGGCAGCCTGCGCTCGCCAGTAGCTTTCGAGCGAGAGCTCCTCTCCTCGACTCAGCCCTCCCCAGGTCCTCCAGGCCCGGACCAGGCCCTCAATGAGTGGCTCCAGGGAGATCAGGTTAGTGACGATGCAGTCGTGGCACGGCCAGGAGAGACACCAAAGGAGGAACGAAGGAGCCTTCATGGCCACAGCGGGCCTCGTCGACGAATAGGTTTCCCGACATCGACCTGAGGAACGGCCCGAAAACCCGAGCCCCTCCTGAGGCCAAAGGGGTCCGCATGTTAGCTAGGGAAGTGCTGTGGGAATTGCTGTAGGGAAGTGTTTCTTACCAAAAGCCTGAAGGCTAAGTTGCAGCAGCTGATCGGAGAGTCTTGCCCATCCCAGGGAGGCGAGCGAAAGGCCTCGAGGTCAGGATCGATCCACGCCAGCACGGCGTTGCGGGTGTCGTCGTCGTCGTCTTCGTCGTCGTCGTCCTCGTCGTCGTCGTCGTGGTCGTCGTCGTCGTCATGTTCGTCGTCGTCGAGTTCTCCCCATCATCTCGGGCGCGTCGAATTCTCCCCATCATCCCGGGCGTGGGCAGAAGTCGCACGGGTGCGTCTTCCGGTGGGCACCGTGGCGAGCGGCGACCGTCGCGAGACGCTGGGGCTCGAGGGGCGAAGGTGACGCCGTAGCCACGAGCACCGAGTGATGGGCCTTCGAGATTCTCGGGTATGCGACAGAAGATCGCAGAAATCCTCAGGAGTGGCATCAGGTCCTGAGCGACGGATTGCGCGATCTGGAGCTGTGCATGGAAGCTGCGATATACCCAGTCCGCCGAGGTACGTAGTCTCGTTCTCTTTGGGCATCCGCTGTTCGCTATGCCATGCAAGACGGTCATGGTGCAGTAGTTCCTAGGGCTTCCAGGGGTCGAGCGAATCCAGGTGGGCACGCGCGCTTTCGGGCTCCAGGTTTATCCAGGCGGTGAGAACAAGAAACCTTAAAGGACTGATGACCAACCTCGGCCCCCTGGCTCACATGTTGGAGGGGGGTCCTGTGCATGGGGGGTACAGGCACGTTAACCTCGAGGACGGTCGTCCAGCTCGGGGTCGTGTGTATACCTCCAGGCCTGTGAAGACCATCGCTCACGTGGTGGACGCGAGCTGGAGGAAAGGAACCCCGCAGT